CACCCCGCGCTGCAGACCCGCGGACGGCGCCCGCAGGCTCGCAGATCGTTCCCTCTTCTCTCAGGTTCACGTCGTCCTTGGGCGTGTTCCCTACGGACCACGGTCTCGGGGTGGGAGCCCGGCCCACTCCTCGGCTTTCGAATCCTTATCCTCCCCGTCCCCAGCATCGATCTCCTAGTGGTGCCCAGTGAGACGCTGAGGGTGCCCCTATCCTATTCCGTTCAGCAACGCGGGCTCTCACAGCTGCAAGTTGCTTTGTAACCCACCCTCCCGCCTTCCAGCTCCTCTGCATCCACCCTTCCATTCATTTTCCCATTCATTCATTCATCCTTTTCTCTTCGTCCCTCCTTCATTCATTCATAGCCCCCCGCCCCGCCCGCCTTGGCATTTCATTCATTCCTTCCTTCCTTCATTCATTCATTTCCCGGAGCTCGTCTAGCGCACACCCCTCGAGCCGAAGGCCCCAACGCGCAGGCGCAGGCAGGGATAGGTAGGCACCCTCCAATCGCTGGGCGTTCTCCCTCCTCCGGGCGCCCGTCCGCTTCCCCATGAATGAACATTGACGTCAATGGGGCGGGGCGCGCCCACGTGACCCTGCGCGCGCCCCTTTATAAGGCGGTGGAGGCGCGGGCGCTGTCCAGCGTGCTGAAGCCGGAGCGAGCGAGCCGCTCGGAGCTGCGCCGACCCAGCTGAGCCCAGCCCACTGGACGCCAGACTGCGACCGTCGCTCATACCCCAGCCACCGCTCGGAGCCCAGGCGGACGCGTCCCGATCTTCCCCTGTCCCACCCTACCCCGACCCTCCTCTCCACCTCCCGCGTCGTGACACCAGCTGGTAAATACTCCGCTGTCCGTCCCTCAAACCCTCTGCAGCCGTGGGCGTGAGGGAGGGCTCTCTCTCCTCCTGGATGGGGATGTTGAAAACACAGCGGGGAGCCCCCAGTAAGGGTCCCTGGTAAATGGGGGAGTCTCAGCTTTTCTCTTGCTGCTGAAGTCGCCCACGCACCATCCGGGAAGTCCTATGGGGAGGGAGCATAGATTTTTTTTCTTATCCTTGCTGCTTAGTACGTGGGCGATGGCAGTGAGATGGCTCAGGGAAGGGGGCGAGGAGGCACTGGGTGAGCGAGGGTTTCGGGCGTTCTTTTCCCATTTACACGACTCCAGAGATCAGCACAACATCTTCCTCCTGTGCTCCTAACCGTCCCTCTTCTGGGTAAGGTTAGGGGATCAGGGAAGCCCCGGATTTCCTGCTTAAATGTGGGGGAGGGAATGTAGAATTAGGAGCGGGTAATTCTTACAGAAATCCTCTTTCTTTGGCCCTTTCTCTTTTTCAGTCTCTGGCAGCCTCTTGGTCATGAAATCCCTCAGGTTGCCGGCTTCCACCCTCTTCTGCTTCCTTCTACTGATCAAGGGGTTAGGAGCAGCGCCCCCGGGTCGCCCTGAGGCGCAGCCTCCTCCCCTCAGCTCTGAGCATAAAGAGCCGGTAGCTGGGGACGCAGTGCCCGGGCAAAAGGATAGCAGCGCCCTAGAGGTCCGAGCTGCTCGAAATTCCGAGCCGCAGGACGAGGGAGAGCTTTTCCAGGGCGTGGATCCCCGGGCGCTGGCCGCGGTGCTGCTGCAGGCACTCGACCACCCAGCCTCGCCCCCCGCGCCAGGCGGCTCCCAGCAGGGGCCAGCGGAGGAAGCAGCTGAAGCTCTGCTGACCGAGACCGTGCGCAGCCAGACCCACAGCCTCCCGGCGCCAGAGACCAAGGAGCCTGCGGCTCCTCCTCGCCCTCAGACTCAGGAGAATGGGCCCGAGGCAGGCGACCCCTCCGAGGAGCTCGAAGCGCTAGCGTCCCTGCTCCAGGAACTGCGAGATTTCAGTCCAAGTAGCGCTAAGCGCCAGCAAGAGACAGCGGCAGCAGAGACGGAAACCCGCACGCACACGCTGACCCGAGTCAATCTGGAGAGCCCGGGGCCGGAGCGCGTGTGGCGCGCTTCCTGGGGAGAGTTCCAGGCGCGCGTCCCAGAGCGCGCGCCCCTGCCGCCCCCGGGCTCCTCGCAATTCCAGGCGCGTATGCCCGAGAGCGGGCCCCTTCCCGAAACCCACCAGTTCGGGGATGGAGTGACCTCCCCCAAAACACACCTAGGCGAGGCATTGGCACCCCTGTCCAAGGCGTACCAAGGCCTGGGTGCCCCCTTCCCCAAGGCGCGCCGGCCTGAGAGCTCACTCCTGGGTGGCTCCGAGGCGGGGGAGCGCCTTCTACAGCAAGGGCTGGCGCAGGTAGAGGCCGGGCGGCGGCAGGCTGAGGCCACGCGGCAGGCCGCAGCGCAGGAAGAGCGGCTGGCCGACCTCGCCTCCGACCTGCTGCTCCAGTATTTGCTGCAGGGCGGGGCCCGGCTGCGCGGCCCGGGGGGTCGGGGGTTGCAGGAGGCGGCGGAGGAGCGAGAGAGCGAAAGGGAGGAGGAGGAGGCGGAGCAGGAGAGACGCGGCGGGGAGGAGAGGGTGGGGGAAGAGGATGAGGAGGCGGCGGAGGCGGAGGCCGAGGCGGAGGAGGCGGAGAGGGCGAGGCAGAACGCGCTACTGTTCGCGGAGGAGGAGGACGGGGAAGCCGGAGCGGAGGACAAGCGCTCCCAGGAGGAGACGCCGGGCCACCGACGGAAGGAGGATGAAGGGACACAGGAGGGCGGGGAGGAGGAGGACGACGACGAGGAGATGGACCCGCAGACGATCGATAGCCTCATCGAGCTGTCCACCAGACTCCACCTGCCCGCTGACGACGTGGTCAGCATCATCGAGGAGGTGGAGGAGAAGCGGAAGCGGAAGAAGAACGCCCCTCCCGAGCCCGTGCCGGCCCCCCGGGCCGCCCCTGCCCCCACCCACGTCCGCTCCCCGCAGCCCCCGCCCCCGGTCCCCGCCCCTGCTCGAGACGAGCTGCCGGACTGGAACGAGGTGCTCCCGCCCTGGGATCGGGAGGAGGACGAGGTGTTTCCCCCAGGGCCCTACCACCCTTTTCCAAACTATATCCGGCCGCGGACACTGCAGCCGCCTGCAGCCTCTCGCCGCCGCCACTATCACCACGCCTTGCCACCTTCGCGCCACTATCCCGACCGGGAGGCCCAGGCGCGGCGCGCGCAGGAGGAGGCGGAGGCGGAGGAGCGCCGGCTGCAGGAGCAGGAGGAGCTGGAGAATTATATCGAGCACGTGCTGCTCCGGCGCCCGTGATCCGCCCCGGCCCCGCCCCCGCGCGACCCCGCCGCGCGCGCCACTCCCCCCTCCGTGTCGTCCTCTCCCTTGTCGGTGTTTGCATGCGCCCTGGCCCCGCCCCTCGGCCGCCGCCCGGCCCCGCCTCCGCCCCGCCCCCGAGCTGTGCCGGGACCTGTCGGACCTCTTTCTGTGGCCCGAACTCCCAAAACTCACTCACGGGTGACCCGGGGCCAGCCCAGGCGGGCAGGTGGTTTGTGCGAGTTCCCTCCCCCGGAGGGACGGGACGTCCCCGTCCAAAACCGGAAAAAGCAGTTCCAGTTAATTGTGTGAAGTGTGTCTGTCTCCAGCCCTTCGGGCCTCCCAGAGCCTCTCCACCCACTCCCAAGTCGCTGTGAATTTACCCTTCTTTCCTTTCTCTGTTGTAAATACCCCTCACGGAGGAAATAGTTTTGCTAAGAAATAAAAGTGACTATTTTATTAGGACTTTGTTCTCGGTTATTCACCCGTCCCCTTGGGCCTGTGTGGTCCTTCCCAAGGGGCGGTGAGGGAAGCGCCAGCCACAACACTCGTCCTGGCTCCCTACCCCAAACCAAAGCCAGGGTTGGTTGGAGAACCACTGAAACCGTATTTGGGGGCAGAGTATGGCTCACACCCATTAGGAAACTCGGAAGTCCACGTCCAGCTTGGGGGTGGTGGTAGTGAAAGGCACTGGTCCCCAGGGCTGGACAGAGAGAAGCAGAGTGGAATGTAACAGAGTCGGTTGTCTGGGATGAGCCCAGCAAGCTTCTGGTTCAAAAGAAAATAACTTTGCACAGAAGGTGCCACAGCTCTGGGTACTTTGGAGGCTCTTCTTTCCTTGATGCTGGGGCTGCTTAGACACCTCTCCCTTAACTGCTCCCCGAATTCCCTGGTCCTAGGTGCTTCACAAGAAATGTGGGGAGCAGGGGGTGATAACCACAGGGAAACCCCAATTCTCCCCATTTCTTAACCCTTTTCTAATCTCAGATACCCTTGAACTTCTGATTATCCTCCCCAAACGAAACTAAGCCAGGCAAATGAAATCTCCTACAAAGAAATCTTAGGAGAAGTGGACCCACGTCCCCAGGAGTTGTTCCTCCCTGGGCAAAGGCATTGAGCATGAAAATCTGTTTGGGGCGAGGTGGCCAGATAACATACTGGACACCTAAATTTGAATTACAGATAAACATCAGATAGGTCATTAGAATTAAGTGTGTCCCAAACATTGCTTGGGACATGGTTCCCCTGCTCCCAAAGTTATTTGTTTTTTATCTGAAATTCAAATTTAGCTGAGTGTCATCTATTGTTCTTCCCAAGTCTGGCAACCGTAGTTCCTAGTTTAGGGCAAGAAGCTAAAGGGCAGTGACGCCAGCAGCCGGGCCTTTCTCCACACAGCCCAAGGCAAGCGAAATCCAGAAATGCTTCTCCTTTTATTTCAGAAGAAAGGACTTAAAGGCAGACACACACAGCCCCACCCTCCCCCAGCTCCTGCCTCGCCCGGAACTGGAGTGAAGGGAGGGAAAGGGCCAGCTCCCACCAAGCCCTCCCCTCCCCCAACCCTTCCTTCCCTCAAAGTGGCAAGGTTAGAAAAAAATTAACTACGTTGTTCCTCCCCTGGCACTGGACAGAGGCCCCACTACAGCCAAGGAGAAGGAGTGGGCAGGGGAGGGCAAAGGCCTTCCCTCTCACCGTAGGGAAGCCCTCCCAGGCAGAGGAGCTGCCCTGGCTGGATGGGGGAGGGTGGAGGTAGGTCACGGGCACGGGGAAGAGAAGAGCCCTGAAAACCTTTTCCCTTTAACCTGACATATTTATATATTTACAGTTATAGGGAGGGGAGGACATCTGGGGGCATTGGTTCTTCAAAGGCAGGGAATGAAAGCCAAATAGCACCCCTGTCTTGGTCACATTTTCCTGTCTCCTAGCTCCTAGAACCTTCAGTGGCAAAGGGGAAAGAGGAAGGAGGGGTGGAGGGAGGCAATGTTTCAAGGGCCAGAGAGCCCACAGCTCACTCCAAAGGAAGGTGAGGCAGCAGAGGAGCAGCAGGGTCCCACCGAGAAAAGGGCCCTGGGCTAGACGGGGAGAAGCAGCCACTCACGCCCTGCTCCCCACCAGTTCCCATTTCCATGCCCGGCTGGGCGACCGGACTACGCCAGACCCATCTCCTCCAGCACACTGCGTGGCGACTCATCCTCCTGTGGCAGAGACAGACAGAGGGTGACGCAGACACCAGGAGAGGCAGACAGGGTGGGCAAGACGACAGCAATCACGAGGAAGGTTGGGGGGAGCATAGAGAGACATGGGGAGGGGGAGAGAAGCCAATGTGAGCCCAAGGCTGGGGTGCTGTGGGCCCTTCAGGGCAGCTCGCCAGCCTCCTGGGGCCACCCAAAGCCAGTGAATGAATGGTGGCAGTGGGGTCCAGGGTCAGTCCATCACCACCCAGAGAACCTAAAGCCCCGAGCTTGGGGAGCAGGGGCTCTCCTCAGTACCTGGGGGCAAAGGCAGTGGAGCTGGGACGGGGAGAACGGAAACCTGCTGCTGGGGGGCTGGGGGTGCAGATGGTGGGGTGCTGTTTTTCAGAGTAGGGGGAGGCAGTAGGAGTTTGGCACCAGGTCCCTGAGGGATGGTGAACCAGACTGCAGAAAGATGAGTCATTAGGGCCTGAGCAGAGCACTAGTAACACGGGTGGGTGTGTGCGCCAGGGCACAGGCATGTGTGAGTGTGTGTGAGTGTGTGCATGTCGAGGGGACGCTGGACCGGAGAGGGGCCAGCTCAGCTCTGGGGCTCTCCTACTGCAGAGAGGGCCCCCCCACCCCCATCTCTCCCCCTCCTCAGAGCCAGCTCAGGCCGCTCACTCATCACTGCAGATTCCGGTGACTCATCTCCCTGCATCAAGGCTCAGCAATGGCACAGCAGAGAGGGGGCAGGCAGTAATGGGGTGAGGGTTGGGGCGCTGGATAGCAGGGGCACTGGATCCAGGCACCCTTGACCCCAGCCCCCAAATTCCCACAGCCTTTTGCTCCTGAGCAGCAGAGGCTTTTGAGTAGGTGTGTGCAAAAAAAAAGAAAAAAAAAAAAAAGGTGGGGTGGGATAAGAAATCAGAGAAGAAAAGAATCATCTGCCATGTTCCCCTTCTCTAATTCTCTAAGCAACCCTTAATGCCAAGAGAGGCGTGGGACAAAAGAGGTTCAGTTGGGACAAGACACCTCAGGTCTTGGGAGGAAGACAGAGCTTGGAACAAGGGGAGCACTGGTGGGCTGTCTGCCCCCCTGTCTCCCACTCCCTGGGATCAGGGCTTAAGGACAAGCTAGAGAGCGGGGCGCCGTGGAGGCCATATGCCACAGGGAGGGGGGCCCCCTTGGCGGCAGGCAGGGTGTCCAGGGGAGGCAGGGCACCCTCTGCCAGGGTACTCTTCCTCCTCCTCACTGTCCCTGGCCCGTACCTCCTGCAGCAGGTCTGCCTGCTCGATGGCCTTTAGCACACTCTTCTTGGAGGTGTCCTGGACATCCCCCCCCATCAAAAACTCATCCAAGATGAAGTAGGCCTTCTCAAAGTTGAAGATGATGTCCAGTTCGCACACCTGGGAGGAGAAGCAGAGGCTGCGTTGAGCTTCAAGGTGCATTCCCAGCCCCCACCTTTCTTAAGACCACTCCTCCCACCTGGGGTTCTGGCCCCAGGCCTCATGTCCTCCCAACCACCAGGCCTTGGTACTAGGTTTGGCTTTTTTTTTTCTCTTCCTCTTGCCTCTTTCTCCCTGATCATGAACTATTAGTTGTCCTATTCGACCCTTCTCTGTGGCTCTCCTTGCCTTTCCCCCCAAATCTGTGACATGTTCCCACCGAGGCTGGGCTAGCCTCTCTCCTTAGCACTGTGGGGCAGGGAGGGAGGAGATTCTGGACCATGGGGTAGAAGACTTGAGTTCTAAACAGGGCTCTGCCACTGAGCAGCTAGCTACACATGTCATTGAATGTCTCTGAGCCTCAGTTTTCTTTCTTTCTTTCTTTTTTTTTTTTGAGACAGAGTCTCGCTCTATCACCCTGGGTAGAGTGCAGTGGTGTCATCATCATAGCTCATTGCAATGTCTAACTCCTGGGCTCAAGGGATCCTCCTGCCTCAGTCTCCCAAGTAGCTGGGAGTACAGGCGAGCACCATCATGCCTGGCTAAGTTTTCTATTTTTAGTAGAGATGGGCTCTTGCTCTTGCTCAGGCTGGTCTCAAACTCCAGAGCTTAAGCAACCCTCCCGCCTCGGCCTCCCAGAGTGCTGGAATGACAGGCATGAGCCACTGCACCTGGCCTGAGCCTCAGTTTTTATATCAATACCTACTTATAGGATGAAATGAGGAATAAACACAAGAACCTGAACACACTTTGTAAATTAAGTGGGATACAAATTATGGAGTTATTACTATTTCCCATCTCAGATCTGAGCTGTCTGCCAATGCCCAGGCTATACCCCAGATAAGTTCATTCAGAATCTCTGGGAATGGGACCTAGGCATCGCTATTTTTAAAAACTCTCCAGAAGATTCCAGTGCAAAGCCAAAGTCAGGAACCACTAACAAAACCTGAACTTGGTCTCTGTGTGAGAAGTTCAGGCTGGGCTCTCCGTGGAGATTAAGTACCAGATTCTGCCCCCATCCTCCCCCCAGCTCAGGGATGATTAAGGGACAAGGCTAATAGGCTTAAAGATTAAAAAGGGAGATTAATTACTATTCTCACTGCTCCAACTTCACCTCTCCCCTGACACTTCCAGGGCGGAGACTGGAAAGGCCTCAAAGTTTAACAGGAAGAGGGGATTTCTGGGTATGGAAACTGGGGCGGGTGGGGAGACTTACACTGCCAAAGTATTTGTCCAGGAGCTCCACATATCGGTGGATCAACTCCAGCGTGATGAGCTCATTGTCCTGGCCCTCGATGGCGCAGCAGAAGTAGAGACTGGCGTATCTGAGGAGAGGGGCACATGCAGCACAGCTGGGAGCTTGCTTCAGGACCCAGGCATCCCAGGCTCAAACCTCCAACCAGCCCTGGGGACTGGGCCCTGACTGGACACAGGTGGGGTGGCCCTAGGGTATGCAAAGAGCAGCTCACTCTATCTCTTAGTGCTGTCTTACAAACAAGCAGGACACATGCTCTTTCCTTCTTGCCCTCTGACCTGCTCGGTTTGACTCAGCGAAAACCTGAGCCAACTAATTCACCTGCTCAGAAGAGAAGGAACCGGAAAGGGTGTGTGTGTGTTGTATGTGTGTCTGTGTGTTGTGAAAAGTGGGGCAGGATTTCTGACTGGTAAATGAGACTACAAGGGACGTGTGCAGTGGACAAGATAGGGCCATAGGGACAGAAGTATGTACCTGAGGCAGGTGTCAGGCTTCAGCAAAACCAAGTGGGGAACAAGAATTTCTTCAAGGGGAGTTTGGAAAGTAAAGGAAGCTTTCACCACTGTCCTTCAGATGTCCTCAGCTCCCAGGTCTCCCTCACCTAAGGGACTGCCTTTTCTCAGCCCTTTTAACCCATTGCAAACTCTAATCTAGCACGATCTAGGCAGGTCTGAGAGTAGGTGGGGAGTCACCTCTTATAGACAACCTTGAGGTCCCTCCACTCCAGGAAGCTGCACATCTTGGGCTTGCGAGCCAGAACAACCTGCATCAGCTCCCGAACCATCTTCTTTCGCTCCTTGTCTGAAGTAGCCAGGTACCATTTTTGCAGCCGCAGTTTTCCCTGCCGGCTGAACAGCAGCATGAATCGCATCTAGGGGATGAGGGCAGAAGTGAGGGTCAGAGATTTGATTCTCTGAGCCTCTTTCTTCCCCAAACTCATCCCCTCTAACTCTTCTCTACCCACAGCTCCTGCTCCTACTTTTTTCAAAAATCCAGCCCCTCCACTCTAGGTGTCCCCACCAGCAGGTGTCTGTTTTGCCTTCTGGGGAAAGCCAGAGCTACTGAGTCTGTCATCTGGGTTCAAATCCTGGCTCTATTAATTATGTACAACTTTGGGCAAATGACTTGATGCCTCTGGGCCTCAGTTTCCTTATCTGTAAGATGGAGATGATAAAAGTACCCACCTTACAGAGTTAGGAGGATTAAATGAATCAATATACACAACAGTGCCTGGCACATGGCAGGCACTATAACCTGTTAGGTATTATTATTATTATTATTCCCTGAACTATTTCCAAGGATATGTAAAATGCCTAGTACAGTGACAAGAAGCCCATAGCTGGTGCCAAAGAGATGCCTGTTCTCTTCCATGCTCCCTCTATCCACCACCATGCTGAAATTGCGTATTTTATTCCTCAAGAAGCTACCTTAATTCTCTACTCCATCCTAGCCATAAGTCCTTAATGATGTCCCCAACACACTGGCCTCCTGTGCCAGTCCTGTGCCCAGGGGTATCCTTCTCCGCATTGCGTATGTCTAATGCCACACATGGGACTGGGATGTCCAAATTCCACCCTTCTCTCTTCAGCCAGCCAGCATTTGGCCCCTGACATTTTTCTCTTAACTTTTCTTCCTTTTAAGGTGCCTCCAGGCCAGACACCAGGTGACCAGAGGTCCCTTTCAATCCCTCAGGGCATGACACCCAGGGGGTTCCTCTAGGGAATGTTTGTAGAACAAAGAGCAAGCTAGGGGAAGTGGGATGGAGTGCTGAGCCCTCACTACCCCCTACACCCTGGCTTCCCAGTTCCAGGGGGTCTGGGCCACATCCTGGAGTTATCTCCTTCTCCCAGCAGTCCTCTCCATGGACATTACCTGGGCTGGAATCCCTGGGTGGATGGAACAGTACTAGCTTAGTAGGTTAAAAATCAGAATTGAGGAGAACTGTTTTTTTTTTTTTTTTTTTGGTGGTGGGAAAGGAGAACAGAGGGGCGCAAGGGAGCTCTGGGTGGCTAAGACAGGGGGGTGGGGAGCGAGCAGGAAGACGGAAGGCCTGGGTTCCGGAAAGGGAGTGGGATGGGGGGCGGAGAACGAAGAACCTCGAGCCCAGGATCCCAAAGCTTGGGTCCTTGAGAGCAAGACCTGGAGCCTACTTGCTTCCCCACCTCGGCCCAGCCTCCAGGCGAACATGGCCAGGAACCCAGGCAGGGCGATCACTCCTTGGATCCGGAAACTATCCCCTCCCACACCCCGCTCCCTACAGGGGCCCTGCGCTCCGGTCTGGGCCGCTCGGGAAGAGGGTCTCGGTGACCCGCGACCCCGGCTTCCTCCCTCCACGAACAGACCCCAGCGCCCTCTCCCTCGGGCGACTTCCCTGCGGCAGTGGTCTGGCCCCCTTGGACCGAGACCCGGGCGATCCTTCCGGCTCGGGACGGTCCCGCCGTCCCCTAGTCAGCCCTCTCGTCCCACAAATGCGCCCCCTCCCCGCCCCTCTCCCGAATGCCATTTCCAGCTCTTCCTTCCGAGGCCGGTCCGCCCACCCGCCCAGGTAAGTGAGGCCTCCGAGGACCAGAGGGAAGAAAGAGCGGCTCAGACCGAGGGCGGCCCCCAAGGACCCCTGCAGGTGCAGCCCACGCCCCTCGCTTCCCCCTCCCCTCCCTCTTCGCACAGCCTACCATCCTGCAGCCTCTGGCTCGGCGCGTCCCACTTCGGCCACCGTAGGCGCCAGCTCCACTCCCTTTCTTATCCTTTCTCCCCCAGCCCGCCCTCTTGGCTGAAACCCCGCCCCGGCCCGCCCAGGCTGTGAGCCCCGCCGCTCTACGCACTGCGCAGGCGCCAACGCTGCAGGGCGCGCGGGCGGGGCAGGAGGCGGAGAAGCAGAAGCCATGGCAACCAGGTCCTTGACTTCAGCTTTGAGTAGCTCGGTCGTCATGGCAACAAGGATGTCTGGTGGGGGTTGGTTGGAGGATGGGGGAGGAAGACAATGAAGTCCTCGCGCTTTGGAGTGTTGAGGGGGAAAAAGGCGGGAAAAGGGGTGCGAAGTTCAGTGATCGAGATGGGAGGATCCTTGAAGTTCTTGAGAAGGCAGGGAGAGCCAGTGGAAGGGGTGTGGGCAATTAAGAGGGACCAGGGTGGGAATTATGTGTAGCGGAGGAGGAATGACCTGGACAACAGGAAAAAAAAGGGCAGTGGTGGGGCAGGAATGAGGAAAGTATAGGGAGGCGGGGAGTACAGGGTCTCGCTCTGCCGCCCAGGCTGGAGTGCAGTGGCACCATCATAGCTCACTGCAACCTCAAACTCCTGGGCTCCAGCGATCCGGCTAATTTTTTTATATTTTTAATAAAGACGGGGTCTTGTTCTTGCTCATGCTGGTCTTGAACTCCTGGCCTGAAGCGATCCTCCCGATCCTCTACCCTCGGCCTCCCAGAGTGCTAGGATTACAGGTGTGAGCCACCACACCTGCCTGACACTCTCATCATAAAGTAAGAGAAATGTGTAGGAAATGAGGGAGATGAGAAATACCAGAGAAAAGGAGGGGCTGATATAAAAGGGATATAAAGAAAAGGAAGAGAGGCTGGGCGCGGTGGCTCACGCCTGTAATCCTAGCACTCTGGGAGGCTGAGGCAGGCAGATCATTTGAGCTCAGGAGTTTGAGACCAGCCTGAGCAAGAGTGAGACCTCGTCTCTACTAAAAAAAATAGAAAGAAATTATCTGGACAACTAAAAATATATAGAAAAAAAAAATCAGCCAGGCACAGTGGCTCGTGCCTGTAGTCCCAGCTACTTGGGAGGCTGAGGCAGTAGGATCACTTGAGCCCAGGAGTATGAGGTTGCTGTGAGCTAGGCTGACGCCACGGCACTCACTCTAGCCAGGGCAACAGAGTGAGACTCTGTCTCAAAAATGAATTAAGGCAAGAGGGGAAGAAATAAAGAGAATCTTAAAAGGTTTAGTGTTAGTCAAAACTAGAAAGAGAAAGATGAAATGCAAACCTAAATGTAAAGGTGAGAAGGATGTAAATTGTAATATGAGCTTCATAGCTGAGTGAATGTGTGTGTGTGTGTGTGTGTGTGTGTGTGTGTGTGTCTCCATGCAGTGAACTAAGGAGGTGTGGAAACAAGGGGAAGAGAAAATCTTAAATTCTGTCATGCTGTAGACTTAATATCTATTTTTAGATATTTTTGGCAATGAATGATGCTGTTATTTTTGAGTAGCACTTGAAGCAATTGTTGGTAAGGCCTTACCTGTCTCCACTCTATGTTCTTTTTTTTTTTCCCTTGTTCTTTGTTATGGAGGTAACATGCTCTAGTGGCAAGAGGGTGGGCCTAATTCACCTGGGATGCAATGTTGTCTCTAACTCTTACTAAAATGTACAGACTCAGGCCAGTTATTTAACTGTCCATCTCCTCATTTCAAGAACGAGGACAGCAGTACATACCTTCCAAGGTGGTTCTGAGGAGTAATGTATAGAAAGTATCTAGGACACTTTAATCACGTGATAATGGTAGCTATTATTTCTCCTTCCCAACTTTTCCTTTTTTTTTTTTACCTTTTCTTATTTTTCCTTTCATTTTTGTTTCTTTTTCTCTGCCTACACCTTAGGCTTGCCAACAGCATAATCTAAAGTACATGGTATTACCAATGGGATATCTTACCAATGGCATAGATAGTTGGCTAAACTATCTTCGTGTTATTTATTAGGTCAAGAATAAGATCAATAAAGCAAGGTGTTAGAGTCAGAAAGGGTGTATCATTATGCAGTGAAAAGAAGAAATAGAAATGTGTAAAAAGGCAGAAAACAAAACAAATAAAAAGAAATACGCTCATGAGAGAGAAGAGAAGATTGTGCATAAAGAAGTATTTAGCAGTGAGGTAAAGACATAAGGCAGAGACCCAGGCAACAGCCTGTGGAAATTTGGAAGCTCTATAGATGTACACTCCTACACTCCTTGGAAAGCTGACACTTTCTAGAATTCCTCGTTTCGATGAGGTATGCCTAACTGCAGAAACGATAAGATTCATGAGAGAATTGTTAGAAATATGAATCATAGAATTCAAATGGTTCAAAGTAGTTAAAAGATGGGGGGCTGGATTTCTTCTTTGTTAGTGAGCAATGAAGGTGGAGAATCTGTGAGTTAGTGGATCCAATACAGCTTGTGCACGGAGATGAGTTTAGATTTGATTCAGTAGGCAGCCGGGAGTCATTATGGTTGTCTGAGCTGGTGAATAACTTGGTGAAAACAATGTTAAGAAAATAATCTTATAGTAATATGTGGGACGGTTTGAAAGGACAGCTGGAAGGCTTGAAGATCATCCAGGGGGCAGTTTTGGGAATCCAATCACAAGGATGAAACAGAGAGGGACAAATCAGAGAGACCTCTAATGGGCCAATCAACTGAAGTTGATCGTCCATCTAAGCAGAGAAGAAGAGAGAAGAATCAGAGATGAGCGTGGAAGATTAGAGGTGCCATTTGTATTAATATAAGTGGAAAAATGGAAGAGGCGAGATTCTCCTTCATAGGTAGGGATGATGTTTGTTTTGTTCTATAAACCTTGCTGATACCTCCCCATGGGATAGAGTTTGAATGTTTGTCCCATCCAAATCTCATGTTGAAATTTGATCTCTGATGTTGGAGGTGGGGCCAGGCCGAGTGGGAGTTGCTTGGGTCACGGGGGCAGATCCCTCATGAATGGCTTGGTGCCCTCCCTGTGGTAATGAGTGAGTTCTCTATTAGTTCACGTGAGAGCTGGTTGTTTAAAAGAGCGTGAGCACCCCCTCCTCTCTCTCTTGCTGCTTCTCTTGCCATGTGACACCCCTGCTCACTCCAGGTGACATGCCTGCTCCCCCTTTGCCTTCCGCCTTGATTGGACGCTTCCTGAGGCCCTCACCAGAAGCAGATGTTGGTGCCATGTTTCTTGTACAGCCTACAGAACCATGGGCCAAATAAACCTCTTTTCTTTATAAATTACCCAATCTCAGGTATTCTTTTATACCAACACAAAACAGACTAATACCCCATGCCTCCCTCCTGCGGTCGCAGAGGTGGTTCCTGCCGTGGTTGACAGAGTGGCCCTGGAGACTTCTGAATCCTTTCGGCCCTGTAAGTTGATGATCCGTGTTCTTCCTTCATGTGATGCTCTTCGCACCCGCTTTTGGCCCATTCTTTATCTAGTTGTCTTAGTCTATTTGTGCTGCTAGAACAAAATACCTTAGATTGGGTAATTTATAAACAACAGAAATTTATTTCTCACAATTCTGGAGGCTGGGAAGTCCAAGATCAAGGTACCAGCAAGTTTGGTTTATGGTGAGGGCCGTTTTCTGCTTCCAAGATGGCCCCTTGTTGCCACGTCCTCTGGAGAAGACAAATACTGTGTCCTCCTGTGGTGGGAGGGACAGAAGTGGCAAAAAAGTGGGCAACTCCCTCTGTCAAGCCCTTTTATAAGGGTACCTAATCACTTCCTAAAGGCCAAAGCCCTTAGTACTGTTGCACTGTGTGTTAAGTTTCACATGAATTTTGGAAGGGATGCTGTCGTTCAAACCATAGTAGTAATTCATAGTTCTCTGATGGTGTCATTTGCAGTAATCTCTTTTAAAAAAATTTTTTCTTCTTCTTCTTTTTTTTTTTTAATGAGCAATCATGTAGGACCTTATCATATGCTGCCCCTTATGGTCCTGAACATTTGAACACTTTCTGTGGTTGATGTTTGTCATTCTTTTTACCTCCCTCTAAACCCCCTTCTTAGAGTATAGAAATGCTCCATACTCGAGGGAGAGACAGACCAACCTCCCAGTATAGCATTCAGATTTCCAGATATTGACTTTTGTAGCATTCTTTGTGGGCACAGCATGGACATGTCTGCTGGGCTCTGCCCATCCGTGCACCTGCCGAGACTTTGGTCCAGGAGGGATTTAGGTGGGTATGAGGTGATGGAGGGTAGATAAGACCCTAGCAACGGGTCAGAGGGTCAAGTTCCTAGGGCAGCAGGGGAGTGGCACCAATGGCATCCACAGGACGGGCAGGGGCACAGGCGTAGTGTGGCACATTGTTCCTAGTGTGAGACCTCCCCCCATCCCTGGTTCTCTGACTGTCCTGGTGGTTCCCTGAGCTCCCCAATTTCCTTTTGTGCTTCAATAGCCAGAGTTGGCTTCTATTGCTGGTAACTGAGAACTCTGCTCCATAAACTGCATTATCGTGGCATATTGTGCCCGGCTGCATATGTGTCCGCCTCGTCTCTTCAGCGGGTTGTAAGCTCCCTGTAGGATGGTGTCACCTACATCTGTCATGTCTTCCTGGCACCCAGCACAGTGCTTGTTGGTTAGCTTCAATTATGATCTGTATAGATGGTTACTAGTGTAGACATTTAAATCTTACTTCTTATCCAAAATATGCCCAATTCTATTTTCATATTTAGTATTATGCATTTTATATCTATCATTCCTGCTAGATGATAAAACCGTCTTCTTTTGCTGTTTCTGTTGTGCCTAGTGCAGTGCCTGACACGCAGCAGGTACCCAATATTTGTTGAACAACTGTATATGGGATTCCCCATTGCAAATTCCATTGTCATCCTAAACTTCACGTACCGAAAACAAATTACCTCTTCCTTCCGTTTTCTCCAGAAAGCATCTCGTCTCTTGGTTTCCTGTTGTCGTTGACGTTGCTGTCTTTTTCTAGATTTGCAAGCTGTAAGGCTGGGACATAAAGGGCAACAGAGAAGTGTGGCTTATTTAAGGGACTCAAGGAAGACTTGCCTGACTAGATTAGGAGAGGGCAATGGGAGAGTGGCTGGGTTCTCAGAGGAGAGAGTGAACAGTCTGAAATCAACCTGGCGACTTGGGACTTCACTCTCATGTGTATCCCTTGAACATGCCTTGCTGTAATTTTTCCTTTGTGATTTTGTTCATGCTGTTTTCTAGAATGTCCTACCATTCCCTGCAGACCCAAATCCATCTTATTTATCCTCAGGCAGCTGCTTCTCTGATGAGTATTTTATGTTTCAGTCCAGATTTTAGCAACCATTTCTACAATGTTCCTTTCAATTTTTAGAAAAATTATTTTATTTTTTTGAGACAGGGTCTGGCTCTGTTGGCCCGGCTAGAGTGCAGTAGTATCATAGCTCACTGCAACCTCAAACACCTGGGCTCAAGCGATCCTCCTGCCTCAGCCTCCCAAGTAGCTGGGATTACAGGCACGCGCCACCACACCCAGCTAGTTTTTCTATTAATATTTTTTGTAGAGATGAGGTCTCATTATGTTGCCCAGGCTGGTCTCGAACTCTTGACCTTAAGCAATGCTCCCGCCTCTGCCTCCCAAAGTGCTAAGATTACAGGCATGAGCCACCACTCCTGGCCCCTTCCAATTATTTTTACAGGGACTTACATAGCTTTCATCCAGCTTTTTGGTGTCAGTTCTCCTTAGTTACCTGATATTTAGAGGCATCACTTACACTTTCTTGTTAATGTTTCACAGTACCCAGTACAAAGTTCGGCCTTTAAATAAATACTTGTTAAATTGAATGGAATTCCAACTTGGCAAGATTTGGGTTGAAGCCACAGCTGCTTTGCTTCAGAGAGCTTTCCATTGGAGTCAAAGCGACATCTGGTGGCTAGGGGATCAACGACTCTGTTTAGGACGTGGCTGTCAGGCTGTGAGGCGGCCAGTGTAAGCACGGAAGGCGCAGGTAACTGGCACTCGAGAGCAGCACCTTTGTTCCTGACCACGTCCGAGCCCTTCTTGGTGTTCAGGTAGACTTGTTCCTGTTCACACATGCCACAGAGAGAGGCGCCACGGTGTAGTGCAAGGAGCAGAGGTGCCCAACTCCCTGGGGCTGTTGAGTAATAGTAACAATAGCGCAGGTTACCCAACCTCTCAGTGTCTCAATTTTCCTCGTAAGTGTTTGCTACTATTATTATGACACTTACTTGAGGAACTACCTAAAAAAATGCTTTGGAAAACAGAAGATGTCTCCTTGACAAATTTCATGCCGATAGAATATTTTTTACCATCGAGGGATTTAGAACACATGTGGGCAGATAATTCTACTGGGGGAGGTTTACAAGAAATCTGCAGCAGTGGTAGCTGGAGGCAGATCCTGTTAGTTTTTCATTTCTAAAGAAAGAGAGAAAGGAAGACAAACTTAGAACAGCTGAGGAAGGGGCCCCAGGCAAAGTCAAACAGAACTGACCGCACCAGCGGTCTTTGTGCTCACGGTATCTTCGAAAAGCACACAGTGCTGTTCAATGGGGCATTTCCTGGAGCAAACTTCCTCTGTGGTGAGGGGCCTTTTGAAGAACTCTTTGCTCTTGCACCTTCTCAGCATGTATGGACAGTTTTTGAACTGTATACTGCAGAACTAGGGCTAACATGTTCTGCTTTTTAAAGCATTTTGTGCAAAATGAGGCTTTTTAGGTTTCTAAGCAAATCTGTTACAGATGGGTAGCTTGTCACCCACTGGCCCAGGGCCTGGAATTGGTCGTATTTTCAGGGTATAAGGAGGTTGAAAGATATACGTGGGTCCCAGTGTCCCTGAATTCTTGGACTGTTGCCTTCATGACTGCAGCTGCCCCATGAGCCCAAAGAGGTGTGTGTACAAGAGGATGAGGCAGAAAGAGGAATACTTTAGTACCGGCTGAAATTTTAACCACAAATCCCAGGGTAGAGTGATCTTGTGAACCTGATCAGGCCACATCTGTGTTTGCAACTCCGGGCTAAGCTAGCTAAAAAAAAAAAAAAAAAGCAGGCCAAGTGGTCTCTATGGCCTTTTCTTTCTCTAGTTCTACAACCATATCTTGGTCCTACAAAGCTTGCCAGTTGCATAGTGAGAACAGGAGAGGAAAGATGAAAAACTCACTGAGGTTAAAAGAGCATCTCTCTCCAAAGCTGATAGTGGCTTTAGTAAGTTACCCATTCCGAGCCTCTCGCCCTGGTTCCCACTGGCTTTCTAAGGAGAGAGGAAGATTCTTCCTTCCAAGCTTGCCTCAACTTTGGGACCCCTCTTACTACATTGGTGTTGTAAGAGAGGAGAAAGCTTGAAGAAGGCAATCTAAAGAGAGGACTCTGTGAGGAGGGGGCATCCAACACTGTGTCCCCTTTGAGACATCACGTTGGAGGCATCCAAGGATGCCCCTGGATTGACTCTCAGAGGGAAGCAGGAATGGGAGGGGCAGACTCTAGAAGGCCTTTTGTCCATGCTGAATGAGTAAGGAGTGAGTAAATGAACGAATACCCTTTCTGGATTCACTCTCAAAAACACTATGACCAGAATTTGCTCCAGGGAAGTCTAACATCATCTCAGAGAAAAAGATAATGTGGAGGTTCTCCTAGTTCTATCTTTATTCATGGCAGAGGGCTCATGTAAGAAAGTCGTGAAGTCTTATTTAAGTTTGAGAAAAGGTAAGCTTCTAACCAGGCAAAACGATCACTTTCGATTGTTCTGTACCATTTGAAAATGTTTGTGTTACTAGAATCACACAATTTCAGGATTGCAAGGTTGCTAAGAGAGACACTTAGTCCCGTCCCTTGAAAGTTATCCTGGGGTACATGAGCACTGGAATAACTATGTAAGGATGGCGTTGTTGGTAACAGCACCACCAATGACAACAGCCTGAAACAACTGAAGTGCCCATCATTGGTGGTTAAGGAATTACAGTGCATCTGTACATGTAGCTGATAAAAAGAATTAGGGACAGATGTCTAGGATGGCTCGCTCATTAGGCAAATAAAGCAAACTGTAGAATTCTCTATATATCTATGTATCTATATATAATAACTTTATTTGTGTGAAAGAAAAGAGCTTTAAATATGCTTGTTGAATGCTTAGTAAAGTTCTAAAAGAACACCCAAGAAACTGGGGGCCTATTATGTTTCTACTTTTACCTTTTTGAACCTTTGACTGTCTTACTGTGAGCATTATTTTTCATAATTTAAAAAAGTTACTTTGTCTTATACCCTGATCACTGAAGCATCCCCACCAAGTGGTCACCTTGGCTGTCCTTGAATACTTCAAGTGACAGAGAACTCACTACCTCTTAACTACCAGACATTGTTTTGACCAAGAACCCCCAGACCATAATTAGTGTCTATTAAGAAATGAGATAGGTATCCAGAGGGCTGGCGCTGTCAGTGCTATCTTTAGGGTTCTAGAGTTGGACAGCACACAAATTTGACAGATAGTTATTGGTATTTTTTCAGTTTTGTTTTTTTTTTTATTGAGACAGGGTCTTGCTCTGTCACCCAGGCCAGGGTACAGTGGCATTAGCCTAGCTCACTGCAACCTCAAACACCTGGGCTCAAGGCATCTTCCTGCCTCAGCCTCCCCGGTAGCTTGGACTACAGGCACGCACCATCACACCTGGCTAATTTTTCTATTTTCTGTAAAGATGGGGTCTTGCTCTTGCTCAGGCTGATCTTGAACTCCTGGCTTCAACCAGTCCTCCCACCTGGGCCTCCCAAAGTGCTAGGATTACAGGCACGAGCTACTTGCGCCCAGCCTATTTTTTCAGTTTAAACACTTATTTTTGAATATATGAACAGAAACTAATTGAGGGAAGTGTGTCCTCTGCCAGGAGCCTTTAAGATAGTGGAGGACGAGAATAAAAGACTTTTCAGGACACTGTATTTGGAAGGATAGTAAGAATATATATCACAAAAGAGTCTTGTTTTTAAGGAACCTGGTATTTAGATTGGATTGGGAAGGTAAGGCGCACACACAAAGTTAAAGAGCAGACATGAATGCAAGTACTGTCACAGACCAGGGAAAAGAAAAACCGGTAAGTGTCAAGTTGAGAGTGATGATGTTGGCTGGACGCAAGGGGACACCCTAGGTGGAGGAAATGGAACTCGATCTGGGTTTGGAGAAATGGGGAGTGGCGGTAGGTGGAGGGTATTTGGTGGTGGGAGGAAACGGCACGAACAGAGTTGGGAGTCCACAGGGACAGTGACCACGAGCAAGCCGGACTGGGTGGGGGGATAGTGGTTGGGGGATCCCTTTTTCCTTTGTGAGGGTGATGCTTGGGGGAGAATCAGCACCCCTGCCCCACCCTGCCCACACGCATGTCCTTGGGGCCTTGTGGCAGAGCCATGGTGAGCAGTCTTGCGGAGTCACCCATGGCAGGTCAACATGCCCGCGCCTGTGGGTGTAGGTTTCACAAAGGTCCCTTTCACCGGAGAGGTCTACGAACCAACAATATTTTGATTTCTTGTACTGGAAGAAAAAGGCAGGGACTGTTTTGGCATATTCTTTGTATTTAT